TCACTACATACCCACCAGGTGCAGCAGCTCCAAATGGATTCAATGTAGTTGCGCCACCAGCCCATGGAATCGGAGCACAAGAAGTCCAGTTCAACGGGTCAGATGCTGTAAATACTAAGGAATCTAAATCTGGATCCAATGGACCATTTAAATATACTTTGGGTTGATTTACACACACATATGGAATTGGCTTAATTGATAAAAATGCAGAGCTGTTGATAGGTCTTAATACGTTGTTTAATGTTGCACTTACACATATACCTTGTCCACCAGGATTGGTTAAATTACTAATAGCATTATTTCTACAGCACATATTGTTATAAGTAAACGTCCAATCGGTACATGCCATTGGTAAAACAACAACGGTATCATAATGCCATTCTTCATAACCTGGAAATATACTCGCTGGGTTTACACACCAGTTATCAATGTTTGGACATAAGTCACCATATATTTTTCTTGTATTATTACCGTTGGTATCAAGTGTAATAGGAAGACTCTGACTACATGATGCAGATGAAACAGTCATAGTAGATGTAGCAGACAAAGGAGCATTTCCCGATTTACAATCTCTATACAATATTAAGTGTATTCGATATGTCAACGGTGCAAGATACTCGTAATAAATATCAGCAGCAGCTACGTGAGTAGCTTTGGTCTGATACACCGACCCTAATAAAACTGCTGTCAATAACAGGATTTGATAAAATTTTTTCATCGTTTTGTTTGTCTTTTATACAAAATATTGTCTTAAATAGATACAATAAACTACACCTCCTTATCAAAGGTATTCATTTAACAAGACGAATATAATGAATTTGCAGTTTGATTTCAAACACATATTTTATTTTGCTATATAAAACCTAAATTTATGTGCCCTTTTACTGAATATTTAAACCTTTTTTGTACCTTGTAAAAGTGATTAGTGTACTACTTGCTGGGTTGGGTTTAGGCTTATTTATGTCTATTTCGGTAGGGCCTACCATTTTTGCTATAATAAAATATAGCATCAACTATGGTTGGAAAGCGGGAATGAGTTTTGTGGCAGGTGTATCCATCAGTGACATTCTGTACATAGCACTCGCTAATATTGCTTCTGCTTGGCTGGTAGGATTGATGTCTTATGCAAATATCATTGGTTATATAGGTTCAGCAATGTTTATAATAATGGGTATTTACGGTTATTTCAAGAAAATAAAGGTAACCCGCAATCGAAATGATGATGCGAATGTGACATCCAAAGATTACATCAAGATTTCACTGAGTGGATTTATGATGAATACCTTTAATCCTGGAGTAATAATTACATGGTTAACAGCTGTTGCTGCTGTTTCAAATTTACAAGCAAACGAAGCGAATCATCAATTACAGTCAACCTATACCTTGTTGTTTTTTGGAAGTTGTTTAGGATTTATACTAGGAATGGATACATTAAAAGTTTTTCTAGCACAAAAAATAAGAAAGAAACTCACACCAAGAACTATCGTATATTTAAATCGGATTTCTGCATTGTGTATTCTTGTACTAGGTATTTTTTTATTGGTTAAAGTTTCATTTGGAATAAAACTAGGTGGATATTAGCTTGCACATTTATAAATCTTAAAAATTAAAAGCCATGTCATTTATACTCGTTGAAAAAAATCATTCTATTGCTAAAATTACATTAAATCGTCCTGAAAAATTCAATAGTTTTTGTCGTGAGATGGCCCTTGACTTACAAAATGCATTGGATGATGCTAATAACGACAATACGATTCGATGTATCTATATAACTGCTATAGGAAAAGCATTTTGTGCTGGACAAGATTTAGCAGAAGCAATAGAAGACAATGGTATTGAATTGGCTCAAATAGTAACAGAGCATTATAATCCAATCATTGAAAAAATGAGAACAATCGAAAAACCAGTTGTTTGTGCTGTGAATGGTGTAGCTGCTGGTGCCGGAGCTAATATTGCATTGGCAGGTGATATCGTTGTTGCGACCGCAAGTGCTTCATTTATTCAAGCATTTAGTAAAATAGGATTAATACCTGATAGTGGTGGTACATTCTTTTTACCTCGATTGGTAGGATTTCAAAAAGCAACTGCACTGATGATGCTTGGCGATAAAGTGATAGCAGAAGAAGCAGAACGCATAGGTATGATTTATAAGTTTTTCTCAGATGAAACATTTGTAGAAGAAAGTTGGAAAATAGCAACTACACTAGCATCGATGCCAACAGTTGGCTTAGGACTTACTAAACGATTATTAAATCATTCGTACGACAATGATTTAATAGAACAATTGGAAATGGAATGTGATGTACAAATTGAAGCATCAGGCACTTACGATTATCAAGAAGGTGTAAATGCATTTCTTGAAAAAAGAAAACCGATATTTAAAGGACAATAAATATTAGTCTTTTACTACTTTTTTTACTTGGGTTTCTTGTCCGTCATAAAGATTAAAGAAATAAGTGCCAGTTGCAAATGATGTTATATCCACATCAAATATATCTTGATTTCGTATTATTTCGCTATAGATTATTTTGCTATTACTAGATAATATAGTTAATCTAAGAGCATCTGTTTTAGCCATCCCTTTGTAGGTTACAGTTACTTTATCATGCGCAGGATTAGGATTTACATCAAGCCACTCTTTAGGTGCAAGTATTTCGAATGAAGATTTATTGTTACCTTTCCAATCTGACCAACTTTTATTCTTATTTGGATCTATTATATAATCATCGGGTGCAGTACAAATATCTGCCATTTCATACCCTGATTCAGATTTTACCAAATCTAGAGTTTGAGTAATAACATAGGCTGTTTCTATGTTTGATATTACTGGTATAATCTCTGACTTTAAATCCAATGTTTTTTTATTCATTTGATAGGTATTCAAATTACATGCTGAATTTCCGTCGGAAGTAAATGGCAACATATACACATCAGAAGCTTCATTTTCATTGTAACCAATTCCACTTAACATAAATTGATTACTAGGTAAGTTAAGTACGTTGGTGATAAAAAAATGTTTGAACAAACTTGGTGATGATTTAGCAATTGTAGTATTGTTTCTTACATCATGCATGATGTAACCTGGCGAATAGTCGTGGAATGTATTACTGAATACACCTGCAACAATTATCTTATTGTCAACATAAGTAAGTCCTGAAAGAAGCATTGTTGCTCCATCGAATGTAAAACTATTTTTGACATTCAAATCATTAGACAACTCTACTATAGCTGGCTCTCCAAAATAATCGTTGCTATTGATAGCTACCAAATATCCACCATTATAAGCAATTAAATTTGATGCAAAATTGTAGTTGGCAAATCCATTAATCACTAATTGGATTACTTCTTTACTATCAGCATTCATTTTTATAGCAAACCATTTTTTGTTATATGCTTTTTCATTATTGTTTTTGTCAGGGAGTTCTGTTTTAGTTCCATTGATTACTATTTGATGTTGATTATCAACAAATATATTTTTAGGATTTAATTCGCATTGTCCCATATCAATTATAGAAGTCCATTGCACAAACCCTTCAATAGTAGTTTTCATAACCACTAACTGGTCTTTATCATTTACAAGCATGCCTTTCATATATTGCTTACCTACAAATACTATTTCATTTTTATCATCTAATACCATGTCAAAAAAATGAGTATTTGCACCCATGTCAAATGATTTAGCCCATCTGATTGATGATGATTTATCTAAACTAAATAATATTGATTTTTTCACATTATTATCATCTAATTGTGCTAAAATAAGTGTATTTCCATTTCCGAGATGGAGTACTTTGAATGGATCAATAAGCGTTTGATTAGCTAGTATTTCTGACTTTACAACTTGCATTTTTTCATCTAACTTCAACAACCACAACTTCTTATTCAAAGCATCATCACCCTTCATACCTATACATACAAAACCATCGCTCGTATGTGAGACCTGATAAAGCTCATCTATCCCAGTATCTTTCAATAATTTGGTGGATTTAAGTTGTTGTTGAGCTACAGCAAAAAAATTAGTACACAATAATGCAACTAACCATACTGAACATCCGAATTTGTATTTCATAATTATATAGTTTAAATGTGACAGATTATATTAAATCTAAAATTAATCTATTTTATTTAAACATTTCATCTTTTAACAGTTTTATTGAGATGAATAAATCAAATGAATACGTAAAATATTTAATCAATATATGTAGCCAATTCAGCAAATGCCCTTTTACAAACAGTTTTTAAATTTCTTATCAATGCTTCAAGTTCATCATGCTTGTGCGTAAGAAGAGCCATTTGTTCTATTTCATATATGTGTGAAAGTTCTTCTTTTACACCCATATAGTTCAGTTGTGTTTTTAATGAATGTGCTGCTATTTTTATCATTTCAAAATCGTGGGTATCAACACCATGTTGCATCTGATCTATAAGCTTTGGTGCATTTTGCAAAAATATGTTTATATATTTTTTTTGTTTCTCTTTATCATTTCCAGCAAATGACATCAGAAATCGAGGATCTGTTATTTTATCTTGAATCAAAGGCTGATTGGATACTACTTCATCTAATTGTATAGTTGGTTTCGAGTCATTCTTCTCCGAAATTTCATTTTCCTTTCGTTGTAAAATAGTTTCAGAATCAAGATATTTTAATAACTTACTAATCAATTCATCTTTTTGAAAAGGCTTAGGAATATGATCGTTCATTCCTATCTTAATATATTGTTTTATATCATCTTTCATCACATTGGCAGTCATTGCAATGACTGGTATTGAACACAAAGGAGATGGCAATTCACTTCTAATAATTTTGGTTGTTTCAGTACCACTCATTTGTGGCATTTGAATATCCATTAAGACTAAATCAAATGGAAAGGCCTTGAGTAATTCCAATGCCTGAAACCCACTAGATGCCTCTGTAATATGTATGGTAGGCGATATTGACTTCAATGTATCTACCGCCAATATGGTATTAAATTCATTATCATCAACTAGGAGTATTCGACTTCGGTTTAAAATAGCTACATCATGATCAGATAAATTAAATTCCTTCTTTTGTTTAATCAGATTTTCATCTCCAATCTGGAATGGTAATACAAATGTAAACGTTGTTCCTTCTCCTAATTTACTTTCAACACTGATCTTACCTTCCATTAATTCTACCAATTGCTTGGATATAGTAAGTCCCAATCCCGTGCCTCCATACTTGCGAGCTACATCAGTGCCAGCTTGTGTAAAACTTTCAAAAATTCGATTGACGTAATCTTGTGATATACCAATACCTGTATCGATTACACGAAACGCAATTTTTACAAAATGACTTTCTAATAACTCAGCATGACATACAATTTTCACAGAACCTCTTTCGGTAAACTTAACTGCATTCCCAGCCAAATTCATTAATACTTGGGCTAAACGGGTCGGGTCCCCAACTAATGAATTGGGCACCTCAGGCTCTATATCAAATCGTATTTCAATTCCTTTTTCTTCTGCTTTAAATCGTAACAAGGTCACAACATTTTTCAATACACTTGATAATGAAAATTCAATAAATTCGATCGTTATTTTACCTGCCTCAATTTTAGAGAAATCTAAAATATCATTGATAATTACGAGTAAATTATCTGCACTTTGAGTAATGGCATTTAAATATTTCACCTGATCTTGTCTAGGATTTTTTTCCTGAAGTAAACGAGTCATTCCTACAATAGCGTTCATGGGAGTTCTTATTTCATGACTCATATTGGCAATGAATTCTTGTTTGAGTTTAGCTGATTGCTCTGCTACTTCTTTCTCTTTTACTGCAAATTCTATCTCATGTCGAATTTGAAGATTGTGTAATTTATTAATTGTGTTTTGTTGGAATATCTCTTCTTTAAGCTTTTCATATTTTTTCAAATTTTCATAAGCCTCTACTATATCGCCCATTTTCTCATACACCTGAGCATACATTTCATGTATACTCATGATATCGTGTTTACGTGAATGTTCATTTGCAAGGTCAAATGATTTATCTAGATGTAGAATAGCCTCCGATAAATTTCCTTCATCAAAACAAATACGTCCTAAGTAAAATTCAGAAATAATAATTCCTTCGAAATTGGATAACTCTTCAGCTTGATGAATAACTAAGTTCAAAAACTTTTCTGCCTTATCAAACATATTCATTTTATAATACACTTTACCAATACCGCTATTGGCTAGCATATTACCAACTGTATTTTGCTCACTCAATACAAGACTACGTTTAAAATTTATAATGGCTAAATTATAATCCTCTTTCTTAAGGTATATATTTCCAAGTGTATGATACACACTGATTAATCGTTTCTTATCATCGTATTTTTTAAAAATAGAAAGACAACGCTTGGCATATTCCAATGCATTCTCATAGTCAAACAAATCGAAATGAAGATTTGAAATACTAATCATCACGGCCGATTGTGAAAGCTCATCACCCAAGTCTTCATTAATTTCGAGTGCCCATTGGTAATATTTTGAAGCATTGGAAAGATCGCCCAAGTCTCTATAAATATTACCATAGTTATTATAGATACGAGCTTTGACAGCATCAAGTTTATTATCTTTTGCAATTTTTACTGCTTCTTTCAGTGTATTTAACCCCTTATCATATTCACCTTTAAGCCAATAGCAAGCTCCTTTATTGTTAAGGCCTCTGGCTATACCTTCCTGGTAATTGATTGCATACGATCGTTCGATGATTTCATTGGACAATTTATATGCTTCTTCTAAATCATAGTTACGAATTTCCAATACAATTTCAATCAAGCAAATGATTTTATCACGTTCATCACTTAAGGTTTTGTATTGATTCTTTAATTCGTGGTATCGTTCTGATGACATGATTTATTTATTAAGTTTAATTGTAAGAAGTTCTTTTGAGTTAGAGTGAATTCTAAATCGATTATCTGTTTTAATACCTACTATCCAAACAATTTTTTTATTGGATTCTATTACCCAAACATGATCTTTTTCATGCAATGGCAATTTCATATCTATCAATACTCTTGCCACTTTTTTCTTTTTAGTCATCCCAAATGGATACATATAATCGCCTTGTTTCCATTTTCGTAGTATAAGCGGAAATTCTAACTTCGAAGCATCAATTGTACATTGTGTAGCTTCTTTAGATGGTATAAAATTGTCGTTCAATAAAGAGTTGAATTTCAACTTAAAATCTTGTGTAACTAATTCTGTAGTAGCAGGTGAAATTTCATAAAATTCGTTATCGCTCGAATTGATTTTTGTAATGATTAAGAAATTTCTGTTTTTAATTACTTGGTATTGTTCACATTTCACTAAACTCCCTGATTGACTATCCATTATATCAATACATTGCAGGCATTGTTGATATGAGAAACCAAATTTTTTAAGCAATTCATATAAAACGGTCGAAAGTGGCTTAACATGTTTTAACTTGAGTATTGGGATATAGTAGTCCTGACCTCGCTGTTCAAGTAATTTACGTTTATATAGATTTATTTGTTTGGAATAAACCTCATTGATTTCGTTAAAACGAAGAATATTTTGATATATATTTTCTTTAAAATTTGGAAATATTAATTCCAATTGAGGGATTATATCATTGCGCAATTTATTCCTAGTATAATCTTTCTTGGCATTGCTAGCATCTTCTCGAAATTCTATTGAGTGCTTAGCTGCATATTCAAGTATTGATTGTTTAGTATATGACAAAAGTGGACGAATTATACGGTCGTATTGAAAAGGTATTCCTGTAAGTCCATTGATACCAGTACCTCTAAAGAAATGAAACAAGGTAGTTTCTACAGAATCATCCATATGATGTGCAGTTGCAACGAAATCGATTTGTTGGGTTTTTAAAATTTCATAAAAAAAATCATACCTAAGCTGCCGGGCTGCTACTTGTATTGATACTTTATTTTTTTCGGCATAATCTGTTGTATCAAAACGTGTGATAAAAAACGGTATATTATTTTTTACACACCAATTTTTCACCAATTCTTCATCTTGATTAGAATCATCACCTCGCAATTGAAAGTTACAATGAGCAACTGAAAAAGTCAATTGATTTTCATTAAATAGTTGACACATGACCATTGAATCAACACCCCCACTCACTGCCAATAGATAACTTGATTTATTTCCTGCTAACCGTAGCTTCATACATTCATTTATTTAATCAATTAAATCTTCCAAAGCCATTTGCAATTCATTCCGTGCATGATTATCTTTTAACTCATTCGCAATTTTAATTCCAGATTCATACGTTGTGATTGCGTTATCATAAAGGTTTAATCGCTCATAAGTCTTTGCTAAATGATAATATGTGCCTATATAATTCAAATTAGTTTCCAATACTTTTTCAAATTGGAGCTTAGCCATATCCCAGGCACCTATTTTTTGATATTCAAGGCCCAAAGCATGCATCAAAAAACAATCCGAAGGTGATTCTGATAGCATTTCTGTCAATTTTGCAATTCTATCCATTGTATATAATAACTACAAACATACTAAATATAAAAAAACAACCTCAAATATTACGCTTAGTTCATTGAAATATAAAAAGTATTAAATTTTATGAATTGTTTGATAAATAACAAATTAAACATATTATATTTATTGCAGATTTATTTGTCCCTTCTCTATGTACCCATTTTTAGACAATTGGTTGGCTGTAACTATTTTTACCTTATTGATATTAGGGACTTTTCTATTTTTTAGTCGTTATTTAAATAAATTTCAATTCCGACCAATAGATAACATTCAATCCGTCAATAAAAATCCTGACAAATATTTATTTTATTTTTTGGTATTGGCAGTTTATGTTCCCACTACAGAAATATTAATTGAACTCTATAAAATAAGAACCAAAAGCGAATTAATATCTAGTATAATATTCAGCATTCTTAGCCTTTCATTTTATTTCATTTCCAAAAAACAAGAAAAAATATATAGAAAACTTGATTTATACTTTACTATTGTCTTCATAGTATTTAGCATTTCTGTGTTAAATCAAATTAAAGAAAATCCAACATCATTAATCAACGCTACTGAATTTTCATTGATAATTGTATTTTCGTATTACGCCTTTTCTCGATTTAGGGATTTTATCATATACAACTTACTGGCATTGGCAGCTTTGTTGACATTGCATTTAAATAATATTATTTCACTCAACCTATTAGTGTTATTTAATAATGTAATTTTGATTTCGCTTGCATTAAATTATATCAAACATATTATAGATAAAAATATTGCCAATAACTTAATTGTTTCAAATTCGATTGTAAATACAAGTTCAATGTTGAGCATCTTAGTTGACAAAAATGGGAATATCAAATCGATTAGTGATAATGTAAAAGATATACTTGGTTATGACGACTGCTCCTCATTCATTGGCA